GTAGTGTACTTGCCTGGCATGTGTGAGGCACTGGGTTTGAATGTCAGCACCACATATAAATAAATAAAAAATATAAAAAAAACTAAACAAAATTAAAAATAAGCCATCATTGAATGAAGCAATTCATGAATCTGATCAGTAGTTACCTAAGTATATAGAGATTCAACAGATCCATGCTTGAAGTCAGACCTAAATTAGGCAAAATCTAAAGAAAGAATGCTGACATCTGTCCTGATTCAAAATACTGTCTTTGGGCACATGTGTATTGCACAGTGTCTGTGATATTTTTTTTTCTGAAATGTGAAAAAAATTTTCAAGTTTTATAATAAATTCATATTATTTATGTATAATAACATGTCTATATATTGCCAAAATTAAAAATAATGTAGTGCTAGTTTAAAATACTTTTCTTTGTGATAAATTTAGTTTTTTATAAGCTACATTTATAAACATTTTAGTCCTTTTCCTTTAGAACAGAATCCTACCTTTTCTTAAGAGAGGCATTTCTTGCTTAGAATTGAGTCATCATAATCTGGAGATTGGGTGGCAGGGATATCCAGGTTTTAAAGATTTTTAACAAAAATTTACATGAAGAGAAGAATTCCCAGAATATAGAATCAGAAAACTCAAGGTTAAAGTCTAAACACCAATTATTAACTGTAAAACCCCTGCAAGATATGCATCCTCCTGAACATCAATTTCATATTCTAAAAAATGTTGGTAGTAATGTCCAATATATTGATATTCTAGTTAAGCAACTGGAATGTAGCAGGATGAAATTCAATAAATGATAGTTACAATAGTTCTTTTGGTTTACATAGATGTTTATAATAATAAGATCCAAATAAACTTTATATTCTCTGATCAGCAACAAAAATTAATTTTTAAAATAAAATTAAATGTTTGATCTACCCACAAAATCATTTTTAGTACATTATTTTGCATGATTTTCTAAAATTCAGTATTTCCCAACTAAAGAGATGCTAAAAGAGACTGCATGGTACATAAAGAGGAGGAGCATTCCATTGTATTTTTAGGTCAATTCAGGGGTCTTACCAGTCACTAGGTCCTTCCCCAGTTTCTTTATTTCCTCTCTTTTCCTCTCTCTGTCTCTTTCCCTTCGCTTCCCCCCCCCCCCCACTTCTTTTTGTTTTTGCAGTACTAGGGATTAAACCCAGTGGCATGATAATGCTGTTACATGTACTACATCTTCAGTATTTTGTAATTTTTATTTTGAGACGGGGTCTTGCTAAGTTGCTCAGTCTATGCTTGTACTTGGGATCCTCCTATCTCAGCCTTCTGACTCACTGGTGTTGATAGTATGCACCACAGCGCACAGCTCTCTATTTCTTTTTTTGAAGTGATGTTTCTCTGCTCTTCATTCATGAGCTGTATAAGCATTCAAAAGGCATAGTTCAAGTCACTCTTTTCTGTTAATTTCTATCCTCTTTTTCCAGAAAAGTCACTGCAGAGTGACTGACTGAGTCAAGACTCTCTTGCTGAGTTTCTTGGGCTCCTATGCCAGTCTTGTCTCTGCTTTATTACATTTTCAAAGTAATTGATGCTGGATATATAATGTAGTTAGGAAGAGCTGAGCCTTACTCTCTCTCTAGGAAAAAAAAAAACATGTCCATATATTATTATCAAAATTTATTAAAATTCCACTTTAAAACCACTTGAAAGTCTTAATCTATGTATATTACATTAAAGACACATTGGTCAGGAAGTATAAATGTATTGATTCTGAGTCTTATTGCATTTTAAAAGAATGAAAGTATTACATTGTTAGATGACTCAAAAATGTAAGTTTACCATTGTGTTACCATTATCTTTTTTCATTTTTTTTTAGTTTGAACAACTTAAATCTACACTATTACTTTGTTTTAATTTCTTACTGTTATTTCTTAATCCAATCTCATTTCCTGCTTCTTATTTTTTGTTGCTATTGTTGTTGAAATAAATCCTGTAGCTACAAAGAAGTGCAAATCCTTTCATATGGTTACATATTAAGAATGCCCAAACACATTTTAACAGCTCTCCAGAAGCTCCTTCATGTTGACATCCAGATACTGATTTCCCTTCTCCTAATCACTCAACTGGCTTGTAGCACACACATTAGTCTGTTTTTGAACATACAAGTTGAATAATACAGTATGTTTTATGTGCATGTGACCTCTTTTGCTGATCATTCTGTTTGAGAGATTCACCTGTATTGTGGTGTATTTAGCTCATGGACTTTTGCATTGGTTCTGATTTTTTGCTGTCATGAATAATGCATTTTGGTGCACAAGTGTACGTAATACTCTTGGGTATATAATTATAAATTGAATTTATTTGAAAAATAGATACATATATTTTACTATTATTGACAAACATTTTCCCAAGGGTTTTACCAATTTATCATCTCTCTAGAATTGTATAAAGGTCCCAGTTATTCCATGTTCCTCCCAACACATAGTATTGCTTATTATTATTATTTGTAATTTCTGTAATTTTGATGGGCAAACTAATCTAGTTTTAACATCATGATTGAATATCTCTGCATTTGGTTCAAAGTATTTGTGAACTGTAAAGTTGTTATGTAGCATATTAGTAGAGCAGAACAGTCACAAACTTTAAATAACTATAGGAATCAGAGAATGCAGTTTATTAGATGCAAAACAAAGGCAGGTGGCAAATTTAAGATGATAATGGGTATAGTAGAATAGTGCGGTTGAATAATACGGTTGGGCATGATGTAGTAACCAAAAGAGAATATGCTTGCTGGAAGTTATCATACTACCATCTAGATCTTTGACATGTAGAACCATGGTATTTGTGCTGCCCTCTTTCTGCTTTTCAAGAGAAAACAAAAACCCATATTTTCGGTGGCATTCTCTAAGGGTTGATGGCAAATAATTCAATATTTTTAAATGAGCTTGGCAAATCTTAGCAAAACTAAAAGTCATTATCTATACTTATCATGCAGGGTATCAATTTCCACACTTCCTAAGTGATGTATTTGTGGCATCAGAGAAGGGCAATTTTTCCTATCTCATTAGTACACTTGTATTAAGGAAATTAATTCTTAGGAATAGCGTATAATCTTAAGTAAATATCAACCCATTTTCCTGTAGATAGCTATGCTTTTTCGTCCTCTTATTCTATTGCAAATTTAATTTGGTTAGTCATTGCTTAACATGTCAAAACAGAATTAAAAAGGCAAATATAAGGAAGTTACATTTATCATTTAATTGTTGTTGAAAATTATTCTAATATATATTCCTCAGGAAAAAAAAATATTTCTATAAGAACATAGTTGAAAAAAATCAGTATAATCTGGAGTTTAGAAGTAGAAATGTTGACAGGATCCCTTCCTTTAAATAAGGCCTTCGCCAGTGTAATAATGCATACCTGCAATTCTAGCTTCCCATTCAGGAAGCTGAGACAAGAGGAGGGCAAAGTGAGGCCTACTTGGGCAACTTAGCAAGACCCTGTCTCAAAGTAAAACATTGTTTTTTAAAAAGTCTTAAATCCAGAAGTAGCATTAAGTGCCTTGAAATGTCAACATCCTTGGGAGACATGACACAGTAACTCAGATTCTTATTAGTGTATAAATTATTATTATAAAAAAATTTTAGATAAAGAGTTTAAATATATGGGAGAATAGTGGAAAACCATTGGTGGAAAGATGAAAACATGCTACAGATATGTTATAATTTTTGTCAATTCCAAAGGCTGTTAATAATGTAATTGAAGGTACAGTTAAGTTTAACTATTTGTAATTTTAAAAGTCATTCAGGAATAAGTGAAAATACTCATTTGAAAATTTTAAGAGATTTTTAATTAGGAAAAGTTACTTCCTTTTCCTTTAAGTAAAGTCTAATTATACAATCTTATTTTTTTTTTTTTTTTGTGAGTACTTGTGGCCAGAAAACAAACAAAAAGGGAACATGTTTAAATAACACTTTTAATTATAGTTATTTTGGCAGGTGTATTTTCAGAATCGTCAAATTCTAGGTGTGGAAATCTTATTTCGAGCTGAACTGTGATAAGAATTTGTTTTCAAATGCAATTTCTCTTTTTGAACAATAGGAGTTATCCATGGAGTCTGGAATTGATCCTGGCCAGGAATATGGACAAGATTATTACAGTTATGAGCATGGGTACATCTTCAGATTTTTTTTTATTCAGAATCTTATATAGTATTTATAAATAATAGGAAGCCATTTATTGATTTCTTTGCTAGCATTTATTATTTCAAAGTCATTTCATTAGTTTTATGTTTGAAAATGAGTAATGTATCTACCTTTAATTTAAATCAAATTTTAAGCATTTTTCTATTTGGCATATATTGTAATTTTATAAATGTATTAAAATTATTCATATTTATTTAAATGTGAAATAAAATCAAACATATTTGCTCAATTCCTAAATTCACCTTTATCTTTATGTGACATGCTTAACATTTTTTAAACCAGTCTAGGTAAAGTTTTGCTCAAAAATGATTAGAAGGTGGAAAACATACTTAAGAATCCAATAACAAGTATTTCAAACGTTATTTCTCCACATGTACACTTCACTGCTTAAAGGAATGCAACAGAAGAATGTATCTCCATTGTTAACCATGTTTGAAAAAACCTTCAGTATAAATATGTAGACTTCACGTTCTGAATCAGCTATTATATTTTCAGAAGGAACATATTTTGTGTCCTACATTATTCACTTCATTAAGGAGCATTATGCCTTTTTTTCTCATTCTATTCTCTCAAAACTTATATCTAAAATAACTCAACTCTCTTTATTGTTATTCCAGGGTACCATTATGGCAAAAATCTTTGGTCATCAGGTAGTAGTTCTTACCCTATGGTTTTGTAGCTAATTTAAAAGGAGCCTAATAGATGCTATATAATATCTGTAGACTGAATGGTGAAGAAAAAGAAGAAAACAGAGATCATTCATGGTAGATTCTACATATACCACAGGAAAAAAGTACTTAAGGTTTTTAGTTTCTTTTACAGGTATGAAATGCCTCAATATGGAAGTCGACGTCGATTGTTACCACCTGCTGGACAGGAGGAATATGGTGAGGTGGTTGGTGAAGCTGAGGAGGAATATGAGGAGGAAGAGGTAAGTTACTATAATTCCATTATGTGGGATGATATTGAAGAACAACATTTTAAATTCTATTTGACTACCAGTATAGAGACTATTTCCACCTTTAAAAAATACTATTCATTTACCACTTGTTTTCCACAGAAATTTAACATTGCTGGTCATTTTATTACTTTATCTATGGAGGGAATTAATTTTAATAGTTTAATCTGTTTCCTTCCATAAACTGTTAATATCTGGAAAAAGCTACAATAATTTTGTTTCCTAAAATTGTAAATATTGCTCCATGAACATAATATATAATCAAATATATAATACAAAATCAAATATGTTTAAAAACATACAATAAAATGTCTACTTTTGTTCCTACACTGTCTAGCATATCTAAAAATCATGAAAAATGGTCTCCATCTTTCAATCATTGGAGAAGGATAAATTATTTCTACCTACATATCTGAGGAAATTATGTAATCATGCCTAAACAAGTATGAACCAATTTTATCAAATTCTTTGCCTACACTATTAATTTGGCAGAGGTCCCCCTCAATAATAACAAATGAATGGCACAGTAGGCCTAACCTGTTCAAAATTTAAGAAAATAGCCAATTTTTATGTAAACTTTCAGATAAACTAATGTATTTTTATGATTTTAAAAGATTCTTTGTAGACTTTAGCTAAAGGGAAACACAAGAAGCTATTGCCAAAATCTAGAGATAGAAAGGAAAGAGGTAGTGGCTATTTCTTTCTTGATCTAAATGAAAAAAAAAAAAAAAAAAACCTTTGAATTAAAAAAAAATGATATATCACTAGATTTTCCTAGATAGCCAAAAGCAAAACAGTTTATACAGTTATCACCCAGCATATTCTTTCCTACTACTTTATACATGACATGGAACAAGATCATACCATAGCTATCCTCACACTGACACTTCAATTGCATTCTCACAATTTTCAGGAAAAGCCAAAGAAAATTACAAAACCAAAAGTTGAAATTAGAGAGCCTAGTGAGGAGGAGGAGGAAGTGGTAGTAACTATTGAAAAGCCACCTGCAGCGGAGCCCACATATACAGCATGGAAGAGGGCCAGGATATTCCCCATGATCTTTAAGAAAGTTAGAGGACTAGCTGATAAAAGAGGCGTCGTTGACCTTGAGGGTGAAGAGTGGCAAAGACGCATGGAGGAAGAGGATAAAGATTATCTGAAACTAACTCTAGACCAAGATGAAGCAACAGAAAGCACCGTAGAATCAGAGGAGGAATCCTCCAGCGATTATACTGAGTACAGTGAAGAAGAATCTGAGTTCAGTGAATCCGAGACCACAGAAGAAGAATCTGAGTCTGAGACGCCCTCTGAGGAGGAGGAGAGTTCCACAGAAGAATCAGAAGAATCCGAATCCACAGAGTCAGAAGGAGAAAAAGCTAGAAGAAACATTGTGCTTGCAAGAAGGAAGCCTGTCGTGGAGGAAGTCAAGGAAGTCAAAGGTAGAAGAGAGGAGCCACCCAAAGAGCAAGAAGAACCCACTGTAGAAGAGGAGGAGGAACACCTAGGAGGAGAAAGTGACCTGGCCCCTGTGGAAGAATCTGCAGACCTTGACGCTCAGGATGTCCCTGAGGAGGGCAGTGCAGAATCAGCTTCTGTGGAAGGAGGCATAGAAAGTGAAGAGGAATCAGAATTAGGCAGTAGTAGTAGTAGTAGTAGTAGTAGTAGTAGTAGTAGTAGTAGCGAAAGTCAGTCCGGAGGTCCCTGGGGCTTTCAGGTGCCAGCCTATGACAGAAGCAAAAAGGCAAACCAAAGGAAGTCTCCAGGAGCAAACTCTGAAGGTTACAACACAGCCCTTTAGAAGAGAGAACAGTAGGTGGGACTTTTGCAGTGATGAGTGCTCTTGCGTGCAGTGCCTTCTGTGTGTTCTCTGAAATGACTCTTTAAGGGCAGTTAATTGACCATGATTTTGATCTGACTTAAGATCAGAAGCTTGCCAGAAAAGCGATACATGATATCCAAAGAAATTGGTATATTAGACTATATTAGATTAAAATCCACTAATATTTCCTATACTAGTAAATAGGAACACATGTAATTAGCTAGTCAATGCTTACTATTTTTTCAGCAGGATTTTTATTATGCAATATGGCATTATGTATTATCAGTGACATCTCTCTGTTGGAATGAATTTTATATATAGATAAGAATAGATTGATACATAATCTGTTGGAGTGGATCAAATAGCTACATGGAGAAATGGTTTGTAGCTGCCACTTTCAAATGTTAGAAGTTAAATAAGATAAAATATGAAAAATCGAATGTTAACATCATTATTCTGAACTGGATTGTTTAAAACCATATTGTAGGAGTCATAATATTTTTTTATCTGAGCAAGTAAACATAATAATTTTGAAATAGACTGACTCAGTGCCAAGCATTGATAGTTCACCCAGTCCAAAAATGTAATAAGGCTTCTTTGAGAAAATAATATAGAACAGTTCAACCTTTGCCCTCTGCCCTTTCTAATGTTAATTGGAAAGAGACAAATAATTGGTGAAAATTTCCATTGTGTTTCCGTTGCTTGCCAAAGGAAAGTTTAGAATAATTGGCTTTCAGTTTTATGTACTATTGAATAATTTGTGTACTAATACTAAATAAATTATGCAATCTGGGAATATATTTTCTAAGTTAACAAACATCTGAATGGAATGACCCAGAAAACCAGGACATTTCAAGTGAATGAATGCATTAAACATACAAAATTTTGGCTAATGGCATTGAATAAATTAGCAGGCATTGCATAAATAAGCAACTTTGGATTTAAAAACCATTTTTCAAATATGGGGAATAGAAACTTTAACATGAATTGAATAATCTACTGCTGTTCAATGCTTCCAATTTAACTTTCCTGAATAGTAAGGCAACTACAAAACAATGGATTAGTTCCTAAGTTAAATATAAATAATATAGTTTTCTTTTCATGTAGAATAGTAATTTGATCTAAGAGCATGTGTTTCCTGGAATGTCTGCTTCCTAGCTCAGCAACACTTTATTCAAATATATCATGTTGTGAAGCCAATCAAGAATTTGTGAAACTAAACTGACGTGAATAAAGAGTTGCTTCCTTGTACCCCTCTTGACTTATTTACATTTGATAACTTTCTACATAACACTTTTTAAAATTTCACAGGCATTGTGTTCTTTGTCTCTTTCACTCCTTTGATAATGACTAACACTTTTTTTTTCCTTTTATTTTGTCAGTGGGCAAGAAAGAGAATGATCAAGTTAGTTGTTGATCGAGAATATGAAACTAGTTCAACTGGAGAAGACAGTGCTCCGGAATGTCAGAGAAACCGTCTTCACAATGCCAAGATCCACAGTAATATCAATGGCAATATATATATTGCACAGAATGGTTCTGTGGTGAGAACCCGCCGTGCCTGCCTCACTGATAACTTGAAAGTTACCTCCCCTGTCCGTCAGGGGAGGCACTTTAAGAAATTAGAGAAGTTGGCAGTGACACATGAGGAGAGTGTACCTCTGAACACATTGTCAAGGGGGCCATTTTCTACTGAGAAAATGAACAAAAGACCAACGTTGGTTACCTTTGCCCCTTGCCCTGTGGTAACTGACAGTACAGCAGCAAAGTCATTGGGGAACAGGCTGAAAAGCACAGTGGAACAGGAGTCCATGGTTGACAATAAGAACATCAAGGAGACTTTGGAATTCCATAGTGACCACACACAGTCAGATGATGAAGAGCTTTGGATGGGTCCCTGGAACAACCTCCATATACCAATGACAAAACTGTGACTGATTTTTTAAAAGTTATTTTAATTTTTACTTCAGTTTTTAATGAACTGTGCTTTTTATTGTCACTGAGAAAACAATGTATGGGATTTATATCATGCACACAAGCTAAAACTTTGAACAATATGCTTTAAAATTTAAAAAAACAGACAGATTTGCACTCACATTTGTATCAATTAATTGTTTTTCCCAGAAAATCTTTTAGGACAGAATCGATTCACTAAAAACACATTATTTAAACATTTAGCTATTTTGTTGGGTTTTGAATTATTTTTCATTTTAATAAACACATAATTTACTAAGTAATCATTCATATTTTGTTAATTAACACAAATTGTGCTTCATTTCTAACTTCACAACACATTTTTCAGTACATACATTTTTATTTTCTATAGGCAAATGGGGAAAATATTAAGAGGATTTTTATAGGTAACAGGTTTGTACAATTGTTGTCTATATTATCCCGGTTTTTTTAAAAAATGAAAGTAGTAAAGGTGAAAATCACCTGTAAATTATTCTGAATCATGAGTTTACTTTTCTTATTATCCATTTTAAAGTTTTACAGATTTTAACACACACACACAGACACACACACATATACACCTTTGAAGAAACACGGAACACTTCAGGTCATATCTTTTTAAAAAAAATTTAATTTACAATTTTACTTGGTTCCCCCTAAAAATACATTATCCATATTATACTTTGTAGATCATTTGGTTTAGCTACTGGAAATTAAATAATTGGAGCAACAAAACAGTCTCTCACCCTCAGTAAAAGCTTACTGAGAAGTGGCAAAGGTCAAATAGGCAATATTGCAGCTAGAACCACAATTTCAGTGTGGAAGTCATGGTAAGGCCAGAAAAGTCTCACATTAATGTCACTGGACATGAATATTTTATGAACCCAGCAGAAAAGAATTTGGCAGAGTCACAAATTTATATAATATGTGAAATGCCTACAAAGGCTATAAATCCATAACTTCAAATGCATTATTATATTTAACTTCTCCCAGCTCTGGTTTATTTATAGACTATTTTGATGCACATATTTATGTGCCTGTAGTTCAGAGCCAGAAAATGATTGCCTGGACATTTTTTTTTTAAATCAAAGAACAGTTGTTAATTTTTCACCACTGAACAAAGCACAGAGTTTTACCATTAATAGAAACTACAATAAATTATTCTTTTAGAAAAACTTGCCTTGTGTGTTGCATACCTTCCAGATGTAGAAAGATGAAATAATATAGTTTAAGAGAATTCAGAATTCTATTGACTATGACTTAGTATGATAGAGATATAGCTCACCTCAAATTTTGCACAGATTTCATTTACATTACTTCATGCATGCTTAGTATATGGTTGAAGGATTGAATAACGCATTATTATTTATACCCCTCTTACATATTTCACACATTAAAATACAATTTCCTTATTTCCAAAGTGTATTACATAAATGTGCCAACATATATTACTAGTATGCTTTCATTTCAGATTTTCAAAAGTATTTGAAGACAAATACCGTAACATCTCATTTATCTAATTTAATTGGAAATCAATGCATTTTTACACCCTTGTTAAAAAAACTATAAACATTAATAGAAGCTTGTTAGAAATATAGAATCATGCCCCCACCCCAGGCCTCTCAAACAAGAATCCACATTTTCACAAGATCCTAAGGTGATTTGAATGCACATTGAATTTTGTGAACCAATGATCTGTAATATTGAACTCCAGGGCTTACTTGTTCAATCACCAAAACAATTGTTTTTACTATAAAATAGTTTATGTAGAAGTTAGATTAAGCATATCTTGTCTCCCTATGAGCCCAATCAGATCACTGAATATAACTTAGTATTTTTTGTTTTCTGTTCCAATGTCATCTCAACCAGTATTCCAAATATTCTCTCCATATAGCTTTACATAATTTTTCCTTCAAATTTTGGCTATAAAATTTAACTTGTTGCTATGCCTTTCTCAAAAATTTTCTTCTAGTTGCAATTTCTAATATACTGGTGGGAGAGTTTGTGTTTTATTCTTGTTTACTGTTATTTAAAAATTTATTAAGTCTGATATAGGAATAAGGTATGTAGATTTGGGCAAAAGCTGTGTGATTCTCAGAAGAGTTCTTTGATCACTGTTGGAATCTGGACATTGTTCTGGAAATATGATGTTGGCAGAAGACTAATATCCTGACAGATGAGATACCATTGTATTTTCTGGTATACTTTTTAACAAGGAAATAGGCAAATATTATAAGCTATTTAATCATAAATATTTCAGAACTTTTGAAATGATTGTTTTAGTAAAATTGATCATGAAGTTAATCTATACCTTACTGGAGACAGTGCAAAGATAAGCAGTATTTACACAGATCAACCAAATAAAATATTTGGTCATTATATTTTGGGGAAAGGATGGAGGACAGTGAAATTAATACTAACTAAATAAATCTGAACCATTTGAATAGTTACTTTGATAAAACTCTCACTATTTTATAAATCCTTGACTCAGGATTAAAATTGTGGAACACAGGGGAAATTATCAAGTATGTTTAATCTTAAGAATACTTCATATAAATGACCTTTCTATGTAAATATTTATAAGGAAATTTATGGTTATTTTTCCTAGAAGGGCATAGGAATTCATTTTAGTTTTAATCAGCCCAGCTTTCAATAATGCAAAAGAAATAGTAGATCATCACTGATGAGAGTAGACTGATATAAAAACAATATTGCTAAAACCATTGATTCAGGAGGTCTTATGGGCATTAAAGGACAGGTGAGGAAGAAGGAGTATATCTGATCAAGGTGACATAGTCATTTGTCACACAATAACCATCAAATCATATTTGTTGACCTTTGTTTCTAGACTTATCTTTTCTATTAATTAATATCCCTGACAGCTGTCATAGAATTGCAACTATAGGTTGGCCAAAAGCATCTTTGTTGAATACATAAAAAAAGTTTGCCTTGAATTTTATGCTATATGTTGCTCATGTTATTAAACCAAATTGTAACAGGGATGTTAAAACATGTTACTTACCATA